AGCTGGCGACCCATGTACCAAGGCTGAGTCCTTGCTGCGGCGGCCCGGGGTTTGAGTAAAGTTTGTTTTGAATGTCACATATAACTGGATAAAATTGATATTATAAATAGTAATTATAATAGATTTTTAAGCTAAACCTATATAATTTGGATTCAGTAAATGCTATGACACTATAACATAATAGAAAAGCAATATATGAAGTGAAGGCTGTAAAATACGAGCGTAGTTCTGTCTTATTCAGTCACACGTTTTCCTCAACATGTCACTCAAAAAGGCAATTTTAGGAAGTAAAGCTCACGACTTTCAACGTGTGAACAGAAAGATCACTGCCGTAAGGTGTTGTGCTCCGACTTTAGAGGGACAAAGGGAAAAATTGAAATTGAGGTTGTCAGATTGTTCAATGACCATTTTAATCTGGACATTGGTTTGAGAAAAAAAAAAAACATCAAGTCTTTTAAGGCCTGAATGACACTGAATGGTGACCACAGCATCAAACCAGAGACAGTGTTAAGACAACAAAAACATTTATGCAACGACAAACGAGACAAACCACTTTGGTCTAGGCCAGATACAGCATCGAATAACAAAAATGACAACCACTGTTCATACGGCGACAGATGTGGATGGAGACCCTGTAGTTTTTACGTGATGTTAAAGGGTTAAAAACGTGTTACTGTCAATGTTCACTGAGCTGAAGCTGTAACATTAGCCTTGTGTTCTTTACCAGTGACCTGTGTTTTTTGGTCTTTAAGTGATGGACAGCAAAGGTATTCAACTGTTAAGCTGAAGTACGAGTCAAAACTTTGCTAATAAAAAAGATGTATAGTAGTGACAAATCAGTGCTGAGTGATAATCCTGAACAGCTGAGAATAACAGAAAAACACACATAATGATTGCTAACAAACAGCTTTTCTGACTGACATGAGAACACAGCAAATTAAATCCCTACAGCATATAAAGTGTCTTTCAGCCAATGTCCCTGCAGTGAATAACTTGGCCCGTTGTCATTAAATCATATTATTCAATGATTTCAGCAAACAAAGCAGCCTATACGCTTGTACTATATTTCTCCGCATTCACAAAGTCCTGGCCTGTGAGCGTCAAAGCTATGTCAGTATGTCAGCCCTCTCTGGAGGCTTAAAACAGGGAAAGGGACCAATCAGAGGTCGTCATGGAGCGTCATTTATGCTGGGCAGTGCTTGCACTCAGAACAGGAGCCTGCATGACGAATGACTGAGCTTAGCTGGCAATCTGGTTGTCTGTAGGTGACGTGCTGTCAGATGAGACAGTGGACTCAGAGGTTGAAGTGCCTGCGGTAGAGTCAGTTTCAGGAGGTAAGGCAGAGACAGAACCAGAGTTGGACTCTGCTTGCGAGGAACTCTCCTTCTCTTCCTCCTGAGGATAGAGCTCAGGGTACCTCTGCATGCACTCTTGCATGTTACGGAAGTTGTCGATGCACTCGGAGCCCTTTACCTCTTCCTTACTGTAGTGGAAGCAGGAAAAGGCCTCTTTGAACTGAGAGCCACAAGGGCCGCTGGCCATGCCGCCCAGGCACGGGCAGTTCCAGTTGATGTCTCCATTTGGCAGAATCAGGCCTAAAGGAACCAGACAGACGCAAGTTAACAAAGACCTTTATGAAGAAAGGAATACTCTGAATTCAGGTCTACCTCTTTCCACAAAGACTAAATGACTAACCCTGTTCCTCATAAGGATCATCGGGGTCCTCTGGAATGAGCTCAGCGTTGCTGGGTGTCTCATGATCTTCTTTGGTCACAAAGATGATGCGATCTTTACCTTAAAAGAAAAACAAACAACAACAACATTACAATCAATTATTAAAATCCATTTCCACTCAAAAATCTGATTTTCCTCCTTGTCCCTACAGTGAGATGTTTAAATGATGTCTGTGCAGAGTTTGACTAGAAGATGTTTCCACATTCATCTGCTGAATGTGGAAAGTTTCTCTGAGCTCACTGAAAATCTGATTGTATAATTTATGAAATTACAAATCATTTGCAAGTTAATCCTAGTCTAGTTTTTAAGTTATTAAAATGTGATGTAGAGACTTGAAGCCTTCCAGTTCACATACACTGAGAACGGACTTTACAGTAAAATAGGTAACAGCTCATGTACGGCAGGAAAACTTTAGAAACTAACAAAATGTAAATATTCATAGACATTCAAATGATATAATAACTTATGAAGTAGAAGGAGTATTCTGGATTTTAATGTGGAACTTCAGACACATCAGACACACATCACTGCTGACTGTGTGTATATGTGGCTTAATACATGTCTGGATCTGATCTTTAAAGGATAAAACCCTGGTCCTGGATCACGTACATCATGCCGTCTGGTCCCAACTTCCATTACTACTAGTATCGTACAGCTGTTAAGTTGGCAGTGACCTCTGGGGGCGCACTATGTCAGTAGCTTTAACTCGAGCTGACCCGCTGTGCCGTCTGCTAACCGTACATTACCACCAGAACCTACGTGTCAAATTACTGCAGCTGCCTGTGTACTCAGTGTGCCATTATACTGAACTGTGTAGCTGTGTGTAGCTGTGTGCAGTCAGGTATCCTAGCACGGTGTGTGTGTGTGTGTGTGTGTGTGTGTAGCTGTGGAGGTGAAGAGCAGGTAGTTACCCTCCTGTCTGCAGTACGACATGTCTGCCGCTGTGTCTGTCCGTCGAGCCTCGTCCTCTGGGCGGTGAAAGATGACCAACGTGAGAGGATTTCATTTGATAAACTACCCGGCGTCCAACTGCCCCGTTACCCCCTCTGACCTGTGCACATGTGGGCGCAGGATATTGACGTCACACGGTCTTTTTTTTATTTTTTTTAAATTTAAATAATATACCACCGATAAATAACGTATATATACCGTCAATGGTAATTAATGAATAAGTAATGAACAAATAAGAAATGTTTGTGCTTAAAATTTATTCCGAGATGTTTGTCTAAAGCTGTTGAATATTTTTTTTTCCTTTGCCTTTATTATTTCACCTTTTGACAATTAGATACTAGATACTAGTTTCTTGTTTCTTGGTTTGTTTTTCTCTTCTTTATGTTCATTAAGTGGTATGACCGATTGTTTGTATATTCTTACAAAGAAAAAATAAATAAAAAGAAGATGGTTAAATAAATAAAAAAAGAAATCAAAAGAAATATGCCCGCCATTAATAAATGGAAAGTGAAATAAAAGAATAAGGTCTTGTGTTTGTAAATAATTTTAAATAGACTGCACTGCTGTGTATGACAAAGTACAGTTAATATCTAGGCCCTAGATTTTTATTTAAAGAGCTAGCAGATGGAAAATTGGGTTTGGGACAAAATGCAAGTTGAGAAATAAATAAACGTTATGTATTGCATCAATATATTTAATGTATTAATGTATATTTAATGTTATTGATCACCAAATTCAATATCCACCAGTATACTGCCTCATAACTTCATAACTGAGATTAAAGCGCTATTAATATATAATAATAAGTTTATATAGTATAAATAAGTATAACAAAACCTCAAAATGTACTGTTAAACAATGTGAACAAGTTAATCTTAAGCCTTACATCCAGTGACCTCTAGTGGAAGTGATCAGTACAATGTACAGCGACTCAATGAAACCACAGCAGACATGAACATGTCTCAACTCTAGAGGCTAACGTCAGCTCAACAGCTCTTACATTTAATAACAGTTTGTTTTAGTCTTACTGCTCCTATAGTGTCAAATCCAGCTTTTACTATCAACTGTAACCATTTAGTTGTTATGCTTCATTGTTTGCCCCTTAAATAGTGCTAGACACAGACCCTGCCAGGACAATGCACAAGGAGACAATAGGAATCAAAACACAATTTCAAAGTGTGTTGGAAAAAAAATCCTGTTTTTTTAATAACACAATTATGTCTGTTACATAAAGTAAAAACCAAAATGAAACCCCTTTTCGTCCCTATCAAACCCACCCTCATCCCGACCATCTCGGCAGTATTGTGCAGCGATTCAGTCTGGGAATAAAAGAGCATGATGACACAGACAAACAGTTTCCTTTGAGGACCCAGAGACAGAGGACAAACACTGTGCCCTACATAAGACCAGAGTGAATATAAACACAGTCCATCTTTTAAAATATCAAAATAAAGGTAAATAAACACCACCAACAGCTTGTCTGAGATTACCAGAAAGCTTATCAGGAGCACAAGCATGTTTTATTCATACTTTTCACATCCTGCTATAGGCCCCTAAAAACCTCAAGCATGATCGCTACCTGTGATGAACATGACATGACTTTCTTTGAATCCCCCCCCAAAAAATGTCCAGGCACAGTGCTTTCAGCTTGAAATAAGCACTAGCAGGTTGTTGCTGTCTTTGTGTTCCTTGAACATGCTGCGATGAACAACGCCTGAGGTAAGTCAAAGACGGCACCTCACACTTGTGTGCTTTAGGCATTCTTCAGCTGATAAGACAGTCATTGGGGACTTAGGCAGCCTGCAAAAAATGGGTAATAGCTATTGGAGTAAAAGGACTGAAGAGACACAATATGATGCGCAACCCTTGGAGGAACCGCAAGAGTTTTCTCAGCACTGACATGCTAGAGATGTATGGTGGAAAACAAAGATGGTAAAAAAAACATGATGGGGGTGGATGCTTTGTGTCTTGATTTGTATCAGAAGGATGGCGTTTTCTAGAAGAGCAGTGCTCCCATGCTGCCCATTTCGCTCTGCTCCTTCACAAAGATTTCAAAGTACTGGTAGATGATGGTCACAGCCAAGAGGATTCCCGTACCCGAACCAATGGCACCCAGGAAGTCAGCCATGACAGACAGCCCTCCTATACAGAGGCCACCAAAGGCAGCAGCTGTGGGGATGTACCTGCGAACAGAAAAAAGTTATAAATTATAAATACATAAATATTCTGGAAGAAAACTTTCCATATAGCGCAAGTAGAAAACATGAAGCCTGAGACTCCGTCTGCAAGGTCGCTTTGTACCTGTTGAGCTCATGCACCATAGAGGTCTCTCTGTGTCCCCTCATTACCATCTGCTGCTCCTTCAGCTGCTTCGCCACCTGAGACACACAAAGAGATACACGCAAGTTAATTTCATGTGGGACAGACACAAAGCAAATTGCAAATGTGTGTACAAACACAGGCTTACATCTTTGGCTGAGGATCCTGAGACCTCAATCCAGGTCTTGGAGAAGAAGGCACAGGAGCCGAGCATGAAGACAATGTAGATAACGGCGTGCACTGGGTCATCCAGAACAGAACCAAATGACTCTGGAGGAGAAAGGTAGTAGCAGAGGCCGCCCACTGGGTAGGCTCGAGCTGGTCCACCACTCGTAGCGTCCTAAACAAAACAAAGAGTAGTAAGACGCAGCATATCCAAGCCAGAACCTGACTGTCCCTTCTTTATGAAAACAACAAAACAACTTGTCATATCACAATGACTGAAACTAAATGTGCTGGAGTCGAAGAACTCCTCATATACTTACAGACCAGGTTCCCAGGAGGTTGACGAGGAAATTGCCGCTAAAACGTGTTGAGAGCATCTGAGAAATGACGTAGAGATTGGAGACCAGGGCCGACTGCAGGATGATTGGGATGTTGGAGGTGTAGAACAGTTTGATGGGGTAGGTGTTGTACTGACCACGGTAGCGTGCTGACTTGATGGGCAGGTCCACCCTGAAGCCCTGGTGAGTTAACAAAGTGTGCCAATCAGTAAGCTGAGCTTTGTTTCAAAACCTGCAGTCCATTAATTCCTTCAGTGCTGCAAAAGCAGACAAGGCACTGGATTGTATTTAGATTGTGTCAGCTCACCTGAAAGTATATGACCACTGCAAACACAAAGACGGTGGCGATGAGGTTCATGAGGTTCGGCAGGTTTTGTCTGTAGAACGCCTCTCTCAGGGCGCGCACCTTGTCTGTGCGGGTGGCCAGGAGATGGAAGAGAGCAATGATGGCTCCCTCAAACTCAGTACCTGGATAAACAACAGGAGTCCCAAGGTTAGTCACTGTAATGAAGATCTCCTTTATGATCTCCTTTATGATCCTCTCAGCTTTAAAATGTGTTTGTTCCTAGTACCCATACCTCTGCCAGTGTTGACAGTGGTGGGGCTGAAGGCCTTCCAGACGATCGTCTCACAGATGTTGGTTGCAATGAAGAGGGAGATACCGGAGCCCAGACCATAGCCCTTCTGGAGCAGCTCATCCAGCAGCAAGACAATCAGACCTGCAACAAACAGCTGTAGAAACAGACGGGAGGTTTGTATTGAGCTGATTCAGGCGGACAACCAGCTGTTCAGAACAAAAAAACATTACAAAAGTCACAATGAATCAGTCAGGGTCTGAATTTTGCCACAAAGGGCGATGATTACAATTTAATCTTCATTTGTAAAATAAACTCACATAAATGAAAACATATTACATAAGAGCTTACGTGTTTTATATTCAAAGTAAGTACCTGACTCTATGCATGACATACCATTACAACCAGGCAGGATTACATACTACAATACTCTATGCATAAGACTACAAAAATGCTAATTTCAAGGCACCGTTTCCAAAGTTTGGGAGAACAGCAGTGAGAGTTTTTATTAACCTGGATGATGATGAGCAAGCATATCCCAGCACCCATCTCTGAAGGGTCTCCATACATGCCAGTCATAACATATACAATGGCCTGTCCAATGGTGATGATCATTCCAAACACTGTAAAAAGACAGAAAAAATGATTTACAATAGACAATCTTGCAGGGGCAACGACTAATGATGTTACTGACAAGTGAACAGTGTACTGTGTCTGCTCATCTTCAAAGCAAATAATCTTAACAGTTTTAAAAGGTTTTGAAAATAGCAAATGCAGTGAGCAGTGGACCTACATTTCTGAGCTCCATTGAAGAGGGCTCTGTCCTTGGGAGTGTCTCCCACCTCAATGATCTTGGCACCAGCCAGCAGCTGCATGATAAGGCCTGAGGTGACAATGGGTGAGATACCCAGCTCCATCAGAGTACCTGAAGGACAAAGTGAACCGCATTAGTGTCACTGTAAGCCTTAGTTAGTACAACAATAGCAGCAGTGCCAGATACAATGCATAAGGACCTACAACTGTTGACCTTTGACTTCTCACATGAGATAATGAGATTATGTCAGGCCTGATAACAACACAGACATTAGATTGCTTCTCCTTGTTGGAGCTGCACAAGACATAAAAGAACTGTGATTAGGCCTGTTTAACATAGACGATTGAAGCACCTCTGTTGGAAGCCAGGATTACTCTCATCCAGTAGAAGGGATCTGCTGAATCTGACGACATGATGCCGAAGAGAGGAATCTGAATAAGAAAGAGAGACAGAAAAATAATGTCACAAACCACCATCACCAAAAACAGAACCGGTAGGTTGGTTGTCATTACGGTTTCTTCATCAATAGATACTAACCTGGCAGCACACCAGAAAGATGAATAGTGTGATGGCGGTCCATAGTACTTTTTCCCGAAACTGAATCTGTGTGGATTAAAACAAAAGTAGATGTAATTCATGTCCATTCACCAAGTGCACAGTGCAGAAACACTGCAACCTAATGACACATGTTCAAAGACACGAGCTTACCTTTCTTTCTGGTTTCTGAATTTCTGGCAAGACCGCACAGAACGGCTTGATGACTTCCAAAAATTTAACTGCAGAAAGAAAATAGCAGGTTAAAACACAAAGATAACATTGCATTTACACACACACACACACACACACCTCTGCAACACTCCTGTTATCTCGGTCTTCTTAAAGCAGATTAGCTTGATGATACGTCATCACTAACCACCAGCTAAACAGCTGCCAGCGGTCA